ATAATATATATATATATATATATATATATTTTAATATATAAATATATATATATTTTCTTTTAAAAAAAAAAAAAAGATAATATTGCTTCAGCCATTAGTCACGCCTGTATGTCCTTGTGACCGATCCGTCCTGCTAGTTCGTCTTTCAGATTACTTAAGTCACGTGACTTTGGCTATGACTTCCTTGTCATTATTGCCATATGTCTTCGAGCGGATTACATTTTTTAGAAATAGATACTAAAAAGACAAAAGGTAAGTGTAAGATTCTGTAGACTGGACTGTTGTTCCTCACAGAATGACACTACAACTGCATTAGAAGGTTACACATCTATAAGGTGACGTCTTCCGTCTTTCGGAAGAGACGTTAAACCGTTGGTCCAAAGGAAATGATAATGGTAATAGTAATGGATGGTAATGGTAATGGTAATGGATGAGTTGGGTACGTCCTTTAAAAACGCCCTTCCCTCTTGACTTGGATTGGATAGGGTTGGGTACGTCCCTTTAAAAACGCCCTTCGGGGCCCCTCGGGGTAAATAAAGTATATATCTTTATCTTTATCCTACAAGATGACGTTAAGGTATAAAATTGATGAATGGATGAGATCTTGAAAAATGTGTTAGGTTCTTAAAACCTTGAAATTTTTTAAAGAACGTGTGGACTGGTATTGTATTCATGGGCTCTGAAGCCTTTGTACATTCTTACTATTATATAAAGGGAGAAGTTTGTTTGTTCCATTGTTCAGGGTAATGGAAAAAAGAAACGGTTTCAAGATATCTGCGCCGCATGTGGTCTATTATTTTCACACATTTTAATAATAATGGTTATATCTCTTTTGTACTTTTTTCACACATTGCATGAAACGTACACGCTCCACGATGAACTTTACGTTCAAGTCGTTTGATATTTTCGTTACTATATGTAACGTTATTATAAAACATTATAACACATTTATCACATCGTGACATCTTTTAATAATAGTGAATTTATACGATATATCTTATAAGCATAACTATTATGGTGCGTCTCCACCTGCGAGTAAGAACTCTCGAGAGCAAAAAGAAAGAGAGAGAGAGATACTCTCGAGAGTCTCTCTCTCTTTCTCTCTTTTTGCTCTCGAGAGTTCTTACTCGCAAGTGGACACGCACCATTAGTTTGGACAATGTGAGGCGCATGTGATCTACGCAGCCTGAACGGAAAATAAACTCGATTTGACAGGGAATTTATTTTGTCCATGAATTTATTTTGATATTTATTTCGTCCATCTCGGAAAACATGCTCAAACATTGAGAAGGCATTGTCGGTCGCCCGCCTATGCCTATACCTTTTCTTCCCACGTTATTATAAGTACCGTTTATTATATATATGGTCGGTCGCAGGCAGTAACCTTGCATACGTGGCCTCTGACGATGAGATATATGTGAATAATCTTCTTTTTACACGAGGTTTGGCTTTACGCACCAAGACACCCTTTTCCTTCTGCCCTCATTATATTCTTGACATTAGTCCCGACGTTATTCCTATACGAAAGGTCTGGTAAGCATTCGTCAATACTCTTTTTGGACTCGTTCTATATTATATCGTCTATATATATCGTCTCAACAATATACGGTTTCGAATCTCTCACCATAATCTTAGTATATCTCAGATTAATAAAGTATACTTTGCTCAGCGTTATTATCTTATTTGGGCATAAAGTCGACAACCATATATCTTCGCTCTTTATTGGTTTTTCGGACCGAGCGATACTTACAATTAGAAAACGCTACCCCCCCCCGCCCCGCAAACGACATCGATGTTCGAGCGGGGAGATAAGTCGAGCTGACAATCTTCTGAGATTAATTGAAAAAAAAATCTAAATTAAATTTTTTGATCAATCTAATATTTAACGCTTTAAAAATGCATTCAATCTTATTCGTTTCATATATTTTCGTTGAACTTTCGCATGAAAGACGTAATTTTGATCAGAACAAGTCGACGAGAGAAGAACGTCGTCGTCGCTGTCGTCGCCGCCGTCGTTGGCGGTGGAAACGAGGGCGGGAGTCAGGACATCGGTAAGATAAAGGATAAGGATTTGAGAAGTGTGACATATTCAATTTTGCAGCGAAGCGATACGTCTCTCCCGTTGAGTGTCGCGCGGTCGTTCGCGCGCGCGGACGCCCGGCGAAGACGCTTATATCCGCGGCCGGGAGAGAGATCCTTCGGCTTTTTGCGACACGTAACGAAATTTACGAGGCGATATTGTCATTTTCGTCACGTAGCCGCACGGCGATGAAGGGACGTGCCGCTACGTCTCTGCTCGGCGTCATTATTGTCGTCTCGCCCCCCCCCCCCCCCGAAACGCAGGAAATTGAAAACACTAAGGCACACCGCACCCCCCGCCTCTCTCCTCTTCTCCTTCACCTGATACAACGCACGCAGTGCACGCACGAATGCAGATTCACGCGTGCGTTTCACCGTGTACCAACACGGATCTCGCGGAACGCGGCGCCGCAATTCTGTCCGTACCTGTTAAACCCTTGGTGAATTTGTGAAGCGTGTACATCTCTCTCTCTCTCTCTCTCTCTCTCTCTCTCTCTCTCTTTCTCAATGATTACATCTCTTAATTGAGAGAGGGGCTTTCGCTGTGTAAAACTCATCGTTTACACATTATACATTTACACACTGCTTCATTTTACAATTTGAGAAATTCTGAAACGCTTATTTGATAGATTTACATTCGTTAAACAATTTATATTCGTTAAACAAACTTTTCGCGGTGCGATAAAGAGGGAAATTGGAAATGATGTGTTTTCACGGTTCGCTGCAGAGTATGCGGGATCGTAAAATAGGTCGTTTGGAAAATGGTAGTCTATGTTAAACTTCAATCTCGACGAGATATAACGCTTAAACTTGTAAAAAGTACCGATAAATGTGAAGCAAAATCAAACGATACTCGACAAAAAAGGAGGAAAAAATAGACAAATATTGATTATAATCCATAGAAGAAAACTTGATACTCGACTCGATTAAAAATAGATGTACAATGTGCATCAAAATTAAATAGAGCATTATTTATAATTTACTTTAAAACAAATGTGGTGACAAACGTTTAATTAAAACTAATGCCAATAGACATTCGTTCGACCGGGTTTTAATATATGGCGCGGCGTCGCGCACTATATTGCGCATATTTGCACGATTTTGTTATACATCGGTGGTATATAACAGCGAGCGCAATTGACGATTGGTATAATTCTCGATCCGCAAAACGGTATATATATTTTAATATAACCGCCGGAGGGGTTTGGCACGATCGACACGGAAATCCGTGCCATATATGACAAACTGTTCGCCGCAATTAGAAATAGGCGGATGCGGGACAAGCCCCCTGCGAATGTTGTCACGATATCGGCGCGATATCGGCGAATCCGTACGCGCGTGTACGTGGGCCTGCAAACGTCGCTCTTCCAATATGCCGATACGATTGTGCAAATAGGAACGATAACATCGTGACGAATAAAATCGACAAACGCATTGTTCTCTCTTATCTCATCACGTTTATCCAATCCGCACTCTGTTGGTACCATGAATATTGGTATCACAGACCTTTAAAGATGACAATGATCTCAGTGATAATCTGGATAATATCTTGTAATCTGCGAAAAGAATTTGTAAACTCGTAATACTTCTTTTTCTGGTTTAATTAACTGATTTCTATTATGAGGCAAACGGTGTTGCTGATAGCGAGTACAAATCGATCGATATGCAAATTCGCACTCATTGCGGGGAATGCTAGAATTAATAACGATGCGTGAAAAGGCGCGAATTACATTAATGGAATATGCATCGTGCGAGAACGCGTTGATTCGAATGCGAAAATTCGGTTGCCTCCACTTATCGTCGGAAATTTTCGGCGAAATTCGTTCGATTCGCGCGTTATTTAACAGGACGTATTGTGTATTGTGGGCCGGATAATTCGGCGCGAACCGTTTTACCGCTCGTTGCAAAATATGGAAAATACGGAGACGGGAGAGATAAACTTATGGATGCCATTCGCGGAAGTAGTAACGACGCCGCGTCGCAAATAATTGAGGGCGCGTCGCGAAATATCGTTGCAGCCTCTTCGTCGAGAATTCCCGCTCGCATTGCGCGTGATTCGTTTCCGGGCTGCGCCCGGGAGATGTAAATTTCACGTTATTATTGAAATCAGTAGATTGAACCGTTAACCGCAGCTGGGAGCTGTATGCAGTGTCATTGGTTGCACATGCGGCCGATACATTATGAAAGAAAAAAAGACACCCAGAGAGAAAGAGAGAGAGAGAGAGAGAGAGAGAGGGGAAAGAGGGGAAGCGCTTTTCGGGAGTGCAGATGCATTTTATCATTTTATTTCAATCCGGTATCGGCCCCTATCTGTCGTGTTCACTTCACTTTATCGACTGCATCCGGCAGTTCATCGTTTTATAATGCCCAAATCAGCATTGACACGTAAATGCTTTTATATTTCAGATCGACCGAGTATCTTTCCAATAATCGCTTCGATTCAGACACAAAGCGTGTCTGTTGTAAATTAATAATATTCGACAGCCGAGACGGGATTTTTACACATGAAGACAGACGCGGATATAAGGACTTTATACATGTAATTTGTTCAAGGAGTGCCAAAGTTGAAAATCTTGCGAAAATTTATTTAGAGCGCAAAGGTTCCATTTAGGCGGTGATGCGCACGGAGACTGATTAGTAAACGATAACTATTTATCGTTGACGTAATGACCGCGCGGTAATGACGCATAACTATTGAATATTTACAAACTGTCTACGATTAGCTGTCGTCGCGGAAAGTATACAAAAATAGCAAAGTTACGAGCTACTTTATCAAACTGATGAAAAATTTAATAACTATGCTATCAACTTTCGTGTATTATTACATGATATTCAATATGTGGATAAGTGGATGAGAAAGTTTTTACAGCTTCAAGGGATTAGTACAAAGGGGCTGTATGCATATTTAAAAGAATAATTACCGAAAAATCCTTGGTAACAACGATTCGACCTTGCATACTTCCGGTGAAACTCCCTTCGTTTTCGTCAACCTTCAGACAGCAGTCAGGAGTAAAACTAGGCGCGCACGAATCGTATTCTTCCACTTTTGTATATTGTCTGGCAATAATGTCTGCTATATTAGAAAATAATCTTCACAAAGAGTGTAATTCAGAGGACGTTCCCATTCTGTATGAAAGTGAGACAAAACATGCAGGTAAAATAAAACGCACTTAATCTTTTGAGAGGTAACGGTCCTCCCTACGGCGCAGCGGAGAATGATCGCGGTTCCATAACGTAGGGTCTGAGGCACCTGAGGAAATATCTATGAAGTCCGAGTCATTATAACGGAAGATTGGGGCAGCCGGGTCTAGAAGTCACACGGGTAAATTGTCACAAAGCTTCTCGCTTTGTAGATCTCGCTTAATAGGTTGAGTGACATATTCTTCTCTATAGTGCAGGTTACGCCTATCATGTTAGGCGGGTGTACGAAATAGCTCGTTTCAAAAACATCGCATGTGATATTTACGAGCATTGTTTTTTTAATTGGACGTAGTAAGTAAATTTTTCTTACCTCTATTTTTATTGTTCCATTGGTTTTTGGATATATCCAGTCGTAATTTCTCTTTAGTCATAAGAAATATTATAGTTTTAGATCATTTTTCCTGTATTTAGTTAATCGTCATTGCAACATAAAGTAATTATAAATATAATTTTCATTGTTCAAAATGATTGTTCGCTGCCCCGATCTCCCGTTAATCACTCGGACTTCATAGATATTTCATGCCTCAGACCCTACGCTATGGAATTGCGATCATTCTGCAAGTTGTCTCAAATGAGATAGGATTCAAAGTTTATGAAAATTATATTACAAAGTTTATGTGAAATTATTAATATTTCGTAATTCATGCTGCACTATATTATTAAGTTAAATCTATACAAAAAACTGTCACTAACTTTAATAAAATATTAAAACAGGAACTATTTGTCGTATGTTTTCTCTATATTTAAGATACGTGACACCCAACCCTGGGTATGGGGTAAGTTGTCAGATTGCACGATTTTGCTTAGAATTAAATAACTTTTTTGTGTATAAATATATATAAGTCTAATATTTTTTTCTTATACTTAAAGGATGTAGCTACATTATAAAGTGGTATACGATATTATAAAATACTGCTAACATTTTTTTTAAATCAATATTTGAAAAGTGGCAACCAGCCCCGGTCTCTCCTAATTATTATTTAATTCGGAGAAATAAGAAATATTAATTTCATTCATTGTTCTATTAATATATGAGCTATTTAATAGATTTAAAGTTATATTCTCCAATAAAATTGAGTGTGATATTTTTTTGGCGATAATTATTTTACGGGGTCCAACAAACCCCACACGACCCGCCGTGTAACTTTTACCCACGTTACCTGTTGAAGGCCACTCAAGCAGTGTTCGAAAATTACATTTTACACACGCGTGCTTCTTCATTAAAACAATATGTCATGCACGCTTAATTCGGCCATTCATCCGGCGGCGACTCGTTTCGACAAAAAATGTCAACTACAAATCCGCATTATTGGCTGTATAAAACACAAAGGTATAAACGAGAGAACAGACGAGCGTCATAATAATCGCGCTCTACTGCCTATCGACAACGGCTTTGCACAGTCGTTTCAGATTGTACCGATTTCGTATTTCGATTAACCATAGAACGATGCCGCGCTTTCACCGGCGATATTCGACGTTGAATTTTGTCCCGAATGCCGCGTAGTCGAAATAAAATTCCTTCCCCCCCCCCCCCTCGTGGAATATAATTTTTACTTGCAAAGTTCATGCTAACAGTAATGGAAGCTTACTTCGAAGTAATAAATGGCGCTTGTATTTGCGAAAAAGAAAAAAAAGGAAATAGCGCTTTGTTAACGCATTGCCTAATGCGCAAGGCGCATTTTGCATTTTAAACAAATGATTAACGTTATCGAGCAGCGTCACAACTTATAGACTTTCTAAACTGACTTTTCCGAATACAATATATGACAATTTGCATACGTGTCCCAAAATTAACTTAAATAGTGTAGAATTTATTTGGACGACAATCTACGTACCGTTTGCATTTTTTATTTACGTTACTTTATACGATTGTGAGGTATAAACCTCTCGGATTACTGACACAATCGGATAGCGCGATGCGTTGCCACAGCAATTCGAGTGCAAGATTTAACGCTGCTCGAAAGAACCCCTCTTGAAATTACTGGCAGCAAATCGGAAGCTGATATTCCGCGCGTCCAGCTCCCCGCGAGATGAATCGTTATCTCTTCCTCGCCGAAAATAAAATTCGAGTCTCGTCGTCGCACCTCCTTTCCTTATAGGATTAAGGGTTCTTTTTATATCGTGCAGAATCCTGCGGGCGTCAGGCGGACCGCGATTTCCTTTGGAGATCGACGATAAATCAAGCTTAAAATTGCTCTCTCGCGCTATTCCCCGATTATTCGTCCTCTCGAAAGAGCGACTTCTTCGTAACGTGCTCCCTTAACGCTCGGAATATCCATGGATACCGTAACAGTTCTACACTACTCTAAAATCGGTGCATTGCAAAGGACTCGATCGATGCTCGCGATTTTATACGGGTAGACGTACTCGACGCTCCAATAAAAATTAACTCGATTTTCAGGCTCGTTGTTTAACGTAATTTTGCATAATTGGATCTACGAGAGACAACGTTTCATTTACAATTTCAACTGGTAAATTATTATTCATTTGCTGTTATTAAATTCTGCATACATAAAACCAGAAGTGTTTTGTTCATTAAATGCCACTTTATTCGCGCTGTTACTCCGCGAATTAAGTAGAGCTCGAAAATTGACATTCTTGGGAGAAATTTTCATTTCAATAATTAAATATCAAGCACTGACAGTTTCAATACTAATGTCATTGAGCGATGTTAAGCATTTTTTAAATTCTTGTTAATCTACAACACTTTGTTGCTTTCTCTTCGGAGCATTCACTGCAAATACAAGTGTGTTATTTTAACTGAAGCTCTTCTTACACATTTTTTGCCTTTTTAAATCACGCGTCATTTAACACGGTTGAACGTATTAAAATTTAAATTAATACGATTAAACGTGTTAATTTAACACGCAACAAAACATGTAAAACGAACTCTACAATGACAGTTAAACGTGTCATTTTTAGACGTTTGTGCTATGTAGAAATGACACTTGAATCTACAGTGTTCTTATTAAATTTTCACGAAATAATTCAATTTATGATTAATAAATCTATCTGTATGTAAATACGATGACACTTCTCGGCTTATGTGACGGAGAAAACATCGTACCTGATATCTCGGAGAAAAAAATTTTCTTCGTATCAGATGATACAGCTCGAGAAGCCGTTCTTCCAGATAAGTCGAAGAGACCGCGATCGCGTAATGCCACCGCAGGTGATTCGTTTTCTCGTCAGCGCGGCGGCGTACGCGAATACTGAATCCTCTTGAAATTGCTTCCCAGCTGGATACTATACGTCCCGTCTTTTGTAACGGCGTACTGAACACGCTCGTTCCGGCAGGCGGACAGCGCGATAAGTAGCTACGATACGAATGAGGAATCCCCGCGGCTCGCCTTGCTTTATACAAATCACGGCGAGATTCGGCGGTCACGTTGAAATACAACAGTAACGGATCGAACCGATGTAAACGTGGTTCACGATTTTATAAAAAATAAAAATTTATAATGTAGATATACATGGGCACAAACGTGAATATAAATTAAGGACTAGTGAATTACATTATAAATTTTTATGTTTTATAAAGTTGGGCGCTATGTTTATATCGAGATAAATTTCCGGAACGTCAAAAATTAGAAACCATATTTAAGGTGAAAATTTATCTTAATTGCCTTTAGATTTATATAAGAGATTATTGCCTTCAGTTTGGCTGAAAAACGTTTTATTCAATATAAAGGAGTGAGGAATGGAGAGAAGCGATAATTTTTATTTGACGAAAGAGAATTTGATATAAATATCCTCTCATTGAGGGTGCAAACATGTATAAGATTGAAGTTGGTATATGCGAAAATAATATGATCCGTAAAAATGCCAAATTTGCTGAAAAGAGAGGAACATTGATCCGAGAAGAATGTAAAGTGACGATAACATTATCTCCAGGGACCAAGAAAATCCCAGAATGAATAGAAGCATTTATTATTGCTTATTTCAAGGGTCCGGAAATTTTTCAAAGTCATTTAACAAGATACATTTGAATGAATTGCTTTTTTTTTAATTTTATGATTAATATGCATTATCTCTTTGTGTCACCCTTGAAAGAAAAAAAATACGAAGAAATTCATCAAAGATAACGAAATAATACATATGTCATTGTCAGTCTGTCTGTTCGCGTGATGCAGTCGGCAATGACGCAATGACATAATTATAGGCCACAAAATGATTCAATTAGCGATGAAAAGCTACACAATACACATGTCTAATAAAGACGTTTCAGACGCGTCTTAGCACAAAGTCATGTACTAAACTACAAACGTCTCTTTGTAACGGGATATTCTTGGAACGCAAATCGACCGGGCATCTTTACGGTACAATTACTGGTCAAGTTAAACACTTAAATGACAATAAAAGTAAAAATATATATTTATTGTTAACTTTTTTGAGGGAAATAGAGAAATTTTTTGTAAACAAAAAACCCCGATTTTTATCGCATTACTTAAAAAACATTTTTTGTTTCTGCAATAGAACGTTTTAAAATTTTCATAAATTAAGGCTACGGTCAACGTGACGCTACAAATGCTTTGGAGCGTTCTTCTTCTCTTTCTTTCTTCATTGAAAGAAAAGAGAAGAGGAATGCTTCGAAGCATTTGTAGCGTCACGTTGACCGTAGCCTAAGTTACCTGCATGCCTGAGTTGCTCTCGTCAACTGAAAAATAATTGAATATTATTTTTAAGAGATGTTTTTTTTATAAATGTTGAAAATAAATTTTTAAATAATGTTCTTTGACGTGGAAATAGGATAGAAATAAAAGCTATTTCAGTCATTAATGATATTTAGTTCAAGTAATTGCTTATTCAATTGTATAAAATTCGAGAAATCATTCGATACATTTTTTATCTCCCAATAATTGGCTGCAATTACTGAGATACGATCTAGAACTCTACCGGTCATTATTAACTCATTAAGACTGCATAATGAATCTGACTCGTGATATGTACTATTATGTATCTGAAGATGAAAACAACGAGTCGGACTTAATAGAAAACTCATTATTCATTAAGGAACATTTATCTTTACATTTATATTCTTGACAAATACTTAGTTTATAATCAACTTTCATTATTTTTCAATTTTATTAAATTGCTGTTCTCTGGTTTTGACGTTTTGGGAATAAATACTGTCTCAATGACTATGGGCGGGTCTCAATGAGCAGACCCGCCCAGCCCTAGAGGGTTCCTCTACCCCAGCATCAGTATAAGGTTTTTCAAATAAGAGTTGGAGATACTGTAAATTCAACTGTGTTATTTCTACACGCATAAACATCTAAAAATAACACATTTGACTGAACCTTTTTTGTAAGAAGAGCTTTAGTTAAAATAACATACTCAAAGTGTACTGTTCATTATTTTGAAGCTAATCATGATACGTTTTTCAAAAACGTTTAAATCAATTTAGTATCTATGCAGTTTTTAACAAAAAAATTAATTAAATAATTTATATAATTAATACTATAATAATTAGTAAACCTGTAAGTAAATATAAATAATAATGAAATAGAATTATATAAATTTCTCCAGTTAGCTGAAACATATGGTGGATTAACAAAATATTATTTAATAATGACCAAATTTATATTTAAGGAAACCTCTACTTGCAATTAGAACAGTGCTGATAAATCGCAATTACATTGATGTTAATATACATACATCGATACATCTTGCGTCAGTTTATGCATGATCTATGTGTGAGGATTGCGCGGGTCGTCCAGTCTCTATTAATTTCTCTTTATCTCGTTCAACGAGACGATAAGGAGAAGAAAGTGAGTAAAAGCTCGGACAAGCCCGGACTAGAGATTAAATCCGGCTTGCGAGTGCACAAAGGAGCCGGCATTTCTCTCGCTGCTGTTAATGAGTTATTAAATATTCCTCGTGGATAGATTAAAAGCGATCTTGTCGTGTTGCCGTGTATATACGTATATTCAACGTACACTCGCGCGCTCTCGAGATTTGCGTATATAGGTATGCCGGTGATACATTAGCGGCGTGCGGAAAGTTTGCGGTTGCCGCGAGTGTTGCGATTAGTTAGTCCCGCCGGGACGCACTGAATTCACGGTAATTATCTATTCGACACGACCTCGTTTCGGATTCCCGCATCTGCGAGTGCCTCCTCGTGTAAACGCATATCAACCCGTTTATTGTATCGTAAGACAATAATCCACGCCCAATTTCGCTGCTCGTAGAGTACCCAGGTCCCGCAGTATCGCGCCGCGATAAGGTAACGTGCCGTATCATTGGCCTCCGAAATTCTGTTTGTGGTCAATAAATCATGATTGGAGGGTATCAACGGTGCTTTCGCTAGACGCGGACGTTAATACGCGCGAAATAGATTTCTAACGTAAATTCATGCGATCTCGCTTCCGGATATTCGCGTATATCTGTTACCTGTTACAAAAAATTTTTAAGAAACAACATTATCGTCGGAAAAAAAGAATAGGCATACTATATCTGTCTTTGAATTTGCAACATTTTAGCCATGCAAATCGATATGCGGACGTTTACATTTTTAATTTTTTAAATAGTAGATACCATTATTTTTTCTCACATACATTGTTCTATTCACTGTATACATTGCAAGAATTTTAAACAGTCCGCTAATGTGCGCAGTTTGTGGTCGACGATACCGTATACCTAAATTAACCGCGAGTACGAATCCGCCACGGTGGGCGCAGACCTGAGAAAACTTATACGTATACATATATTACACATCCCACGGACCACGGACGACAGCACAGACTTATACGGGAATTGCTCGTGAAAGTTTTTAATGAAAATTTGTAATTTTGGATATTCCGCGAAAGCTGGCACGAAGTTTTCGGGCCGTTGCGATGAAAATGTTAATCAAACGATGCGCAGTCGTGCACGAGATCGACGGAGTCTCATTGTCTCAATGTCCTGTATAAAGTACATATTTCTAGTCGATTTTCTGAGTGCTTTTTCATCAGCTTTTTCACGTCTCGACCAGCTTTAAAAACAAACGTTGTATTATTATACATTTGTTGTTAATTTGATACACTATTTGAGCATTGATCCCATCTACATCGAATAGAAAATAGTCAGTGACTATCTATTGCTCTTTTCTTTTATATTGCATTTCATTGACACTTTCCGTAAGATTAACCGTAAGATTATGGAATTTATGGCTCCCTTCTCTATAATTATTGAAAACATCTTATTCATCATGTGTATTAATTATTGATATATTAGATTAACAGGTAGAACGTTCTTCTTTAAAAGGTTCTTGTCTTTTCTAAATACATATATATGTATAAGTCAGTATCTTATTTAAAACATCATCCGAAAAATAAAATTGACAAACATCTAAAATGAATAGATTTTACGTTAATTTTATTGTCTTACCATTTCATCTAAACTTTACGGAAACGCCGAGAGATTTTCTTAAAGTCAGATATATCAAGGTAGTATTTTTGTCAGTCTTGTTTAGAAAAATGAAGATTTCGTAGTTTAACAATTTTTTACTATTGACGTAGAAGAGTCGATTACGCGGAACAGTTCGTAAAAATAGTAATAATTCATCGGAACTGTCGCGGCCGCGCGCAAAGAACGGTAAACCTTACGAGCGCAAAATACAATGGTCGCAAGAAATACTAGGTGTAACGTGTAACCGCGGGGTTCATTTCAGCACGTGCATCCCCGTCTCACGCCGCTCGAGACGTAAGCCCCTGGCCCTTCTTGGTTTACGTAATGTTTCCCGGTCACGTTCGGGATATGCATGAACTTTAAAAGTGGCGCCTTCGTGCTTACGGAATATTAAAGCCATTCATATTTACCGGGGACTAGATACTGTAGGCACGTAATAACGCATTTCTTCTTGCCGCCTGTCCCGGTACCCTCCGTCTCCGTTTCTCGCGCCGCACTCGTTAAAATTATCGCTTCGCCTCGGATATACGTCCGCACGTCGGCGTAATGCCGCTCTTATTCAGAAATATCGTTATCCTTCCGCGGACATGTCACGCGGAGAAAGCGCCCGAGTGCACGTTCACGCGACCACAAGGACATAAACTGCGCATAATGTTCCACGCATGTGTTGCGTGTCCTGGAACATATATCACATTGATGTATTAAAGAGGGTTGCCGCAGAGGGATGATCGTGGGGAACTTTTGGAACTCCGATCAATTTCTGAATATAATTTGATCAAATATCGCCATTGCTCTTCCTGCCAAATTCTAAATACACAAAGAAATAAAAATATGTAAAAAGGTGAATAATAACCTTAGCTTCCCACACTTCTAAATTTTTACGGGTTTTCCACACTGGGGTACAGGCTACCCCACGT